TGAAGCTGATCTTAATGAAAGTGTCTGGGTCAGCTCTTAGGATTTTCTTGTCTTTTGAACAGTGTTGGCTTTAAAATATTGAATGCTTTTTCTTTGCTGTTTTACTCTTTGTGGTCCTTCCTGAGTTTTGTTGTTGTTTTCGATGCTGCTCCTAGATTGCAGTTTATTCTTTCTGATTTTATAAAGCCGTCTGGATTTTTAAAAAAAATAAGTAGTAGCTAAATAATTCTTTAAACATTGTGTTCTTATTTATACAAAAGTCAATTTCTAAGTGAGTTCTAGTCCTATATTATCATAACAAGAAAGAAGCAGGGTTGGCCATACCAGTAGGCCAGGGGTAGGCAACCTTGGCTCTTTTATGACTCATGGACTTCAATTCCCAGAATTCCTGAGCCAGCATGGCTCAGCTTGAAAACCTCTCCCTTTCCCCTCAGCATGGCTGGCTCAGGAATTCTGGGAGTTGAAGTCCACGAGTCATAAAAGAGCCAAGGTTGCCTACCCCTGCACTGGGCAGATCTGAACCAGCTGTCTTGGCTGGTACTGGCTTTTGTGCTAGAGTGGCTAAAAAGAGAAGAGAGTTGCATGGGGCAGTGCTGATGCCTTCAGAAGGGCACTATCACATAATTCATCTTGAAATAAGATACAACTATCAATCCAGTTGTGTATAAAAAGAAATAATCTTCAGGGAAAACATTTGGGCTGATTCCAGAAATAACAATGCAAAGAAAAGTGGTCCATCATCTTCTCTACTATATCAGTAATTGGATTGATATGGATACAGCTATTTATTTAATTTACATATTTTTATGCAGATGAAACAAAAGTTACTACCACACAAATATTGGATTATTTAGCAAGATATGTATGTATTTAAATTGCTTCCTGGAAATTTAGAATTAGAGCTCAACTCTATCATATGCAAGAACATAATAAAATGATTTAAAAATAATAATGAGACATACAATTTCAAAAGATTAATGTATATTGACAGGCCCCAGTCATGAAACCCACTGTATGATTTTGGCCCAGTCTCTTCTTTCTTGGTCTAACCTACCTCATGCAGTAAGGACAAATCAGGTGCACTATTTATGTCAGTTTGGGCTCATGGAAGGCAGGAAGAATATAACTTCAACAAACAAAATAAAGAAATAAGGGCAAAAGAAAAGTCATAACTTAGAGTCTGAACAAACAGTATAAATCTGAACCAATAATTATTTTGCAAGAGAATATCACGATTGCTGATTTCATGACTAGAATATATAAGTCATCCTTGCCCAGGCAAATGGCTTTCTTGTGATAGTAAATATTGTGTAGCCTTTTCGTTCAAGTGTCATAAGCATAAAATGAAGCTTCTATGATGTACAGTTAGAAACACTTCAGGTTCATCTGCCATCTCAGCATGTGCCTGTTATTAGAATGTTGGCTCTTCATCCATTTCTAATTTCTTACCCATGTGGTTTTTCTCCGTTAAAAGAGAGGAATGGTTTACCATTGGCTTCTCCCACGCAGAATGCTTGAGTTGTTTCCTTTGACACTGACATTAAAGTGACCCTCTGCCTCCAACATCTTCCTATATTGCTGCTGCCGAATATAGGCTTGCTTTACTGGACAGCTGAGATGATCTCTTGGTAAGCCATCTGATGAGGGTGACCCTTCTGGGAATATATACTCTTGACATATGTTCTCAATGTTCTTCGCTCATCCTTCCCAGGAACACCCACCCCCCGCCACATAAGGATGCAGTACAACCGTGTGTGTGTGTGTGTGTATGTGTTATGTTTGCATACTCACTAGGGGTACAAATGACTAGGCTCAAATTATCTTGCTTTAGATACATTAGGCAAAGACCAGCTCTCTGGACAAGGCTGTAATGAAGGGAAAGGTGGAAAGAAAGAGAAAAAGAGGAGAACAGCAAGATAGCTGGATTTGGTTACAGTGGCAATGGAGGAATCATTGGAAGACTTGAAAGACCAGGTGAGGGACAGATCATTATGGAGAAAATTCTACCTATGAATTTGCTAAAGTCGACACTGACCTGATGATCTATAATCAAGCAATCTCTATCCATTTCTAGACTAAACACTTCTCAATCTATTGCTCAGGTACAGAATATTAAGGAAGTAAACAAAACAATGAACATCCTTCTTGGAACATAAGGCCACACTTAATATATCTGGGGAGAGCAAGGGCTGACGATATTGATGCGAGTGGAGTTGTGTCCTGCACACGGGCAGGGCCAGATTTTCTGTTCTATTTTGGTGGAGGTATTTGTTTTAAAACTATACAAATCTTTGTGGCTTCTCCTATAGATTCTATGTGTTTCCAACCTCAGAAAACTATGCCATTGATTTAAAAAAAACAACTGCTCCAATGTAGATGTCTATGGAGATTCTCAATCATCCAGGTCATGGTTGTCCCAAAGGTGCTTTTCAAAAGGCACATTGGTGTTTTCTCATCCAATAAGCTTCTGGTGTCAGTGAAATCTTGATTCTAGTGCCTGGAAGTTGACTGGAAGACTGAAAACTAATCACTACTCTCAGCTCACCAATTTGTTGTTAACTGAGAAAAGTAGGAAGGAACTTTATGTATACCGCTTTGAGCTTTTGAGTGAAAAGTGGGATATAAATCAATCAAATAAATAAGTCCTGTCTCTTTATCCCCAGCACTGAAAACCCTAAAATACACTGTTCATCTGTACTGCAGGTTCAATTGACAGCAATATCATTATTCTGCTATGGAACTGCAACTAGACAGCACTGAGAACAACACTTTATTTTTTTCTCTATTTATGAGGTTTATATATCGTTCTTTTCTCCAGCAGATGGCATTCAAAGTGGCTAATAAGCATAATTTTAAATATGTTAAAGCTTAATTTTAAATACATCAAAGGCTTAGTAAAAACGTATTTGAAATCTATATTAAAACAACTTCAGTCTTACAGCATTTCAGTTTTTAAACAGTATAATGCTATGGCTCAAGTTTATTTGGAAATTAAAGTTTGTTACTTAGTCCATTCTAAGATTGATTGCTAGTGAATGTTGGCTGAAAATTAACTAAAGTTATGACAGTTGTTGCTGAAAGCCAGATTTTCATCTCAGTTTGATGCATTTGTGGTGTTGTTAATGTGGACTTTTAAACATAGATCTTGTCCTATAAGTATCTATGTAAGAGTCATTCTATACAAAACATATTATCTTGTCAAAGACGCAGTATTCTTGGTAGAAGACTAAGAGCCCCATATTTATACCAAGCATTATTCCTCTTACTTCTCTAAAGCAGAATTCTATGACAAAAACAATTATTGGGGTTTTAGTTCTTTGCACTCCTTTCAGAGCCTCTGGTTGAAAAGCAGTATGATATAGTGTTGGCTTGATTCTGGATTTTTTTTTTAATGTAAACCGAACTCCTACAAAATCTCAAAAAGTTAAGATTGAATTTGCTGGAACCTAGATGGGAGACCACCAGAACATGCCATGATGCTGAATTAGCATGTTGCCTCAGAAATTCTGGGAGCTTAAGTCCATCATCTTAAAGTGATTGAGATTGAAAAGTGCTGGTGTAGGTTATTGCAGGTCCCTTACCCATTATGCACACATTCTCCTGTGGGCACTGAATGCTGAACGGTGCAGAGAAGAGCAGCAAAGATGATTAGGGGACTGGAAAACTAAACTGTATGATAAATGGTTGCAGGAACTCGGTATGTCTAGTCTACCAAAGCAAAGAGTTAGCAATGACATGTTAGCACATTCCAATATTTGAGAAGCTATCCAAAGCACCTGAGGATAGGACAAAAAGCAATGGGTGGAAGCTTGGTAAAGAGAAATCCAACTGGAAACTAAGGGAGAAATTTCTTGAAAGTGAGAACAATGAATCAGTGGAAGAGCTTGCCCTCTGGAGTTGTGGGTGCTCCATCAATGGAGGTTTTCAAGAAAAGATTGGACAACAATTCGTCCAGGATGGAATAAGGTCTCCTGCCCTGGGCAAGGGTTTGGACTAGAAGACCTCTAAGGTCCCTTCCAGCCCTGTGATTCTATGACTCTATGACATCCATGTTTTCAGAATGTAATTCTCTACAAGCAGGAAGAAAAAGTATTACTCAACATTTGACATAAAGAAGGTGCCACCTAGTGGACACATTAAGTACAATGTTCTGCGTCATCCTGAAATGTTTTAAACAACTGACCTTGAGTAATGCATTTATTTTCAATCAATGTTATGAAATTCCATTACCACCAACACCATCCCTGCCGGTTCTCAGATCTGCATTCATTTCGTAGCCCTAGTTTCAGCATGTCTTTTATTGCCTGCTAAATATTATGTTGCTACTACCATGTCAGCTGTAATGAGAGCATGTGGGGCAGTGCATATTTTTGAGGCAGATATTTATTGACAGAATGTAGCTCACCAACCAGAACTTTCTTTCTAGAAAAAGAGGTATTTCGATTTAACCAGCTTGGTGGCAGGAAAAATTAATAAGGTCAGTTGAGGAGCAAGAGGAGAGAGGGCGGTCTGAGTGATCCGTTTGATCGCCAAGATCAGATGCTAGGATTACGCAATGTCCAGCACCAGCAACGTTTCACAGTCCAGAAAAAGTACTAGAAGAGGAAACGGTCTCATTTAGTTAAGAGAAACGAGAAAGAGAAATGTCTCTACAGATACTTAGTTGAAAAAGATTAAGTTACTCTCATATGTATCTTTAGCCCTTTCGAACTTGCTTCCGAGCGGATGCACAATATGAAATATGCAGGATGATGCATCATCTGATGCTTCAATTATCTGAAGAATGGAGTGGCGAAACTTTGTGCCACTTTGCTTTACATCAACCAGTGGCAGAACGGTTCCATCATTAGACTCGCCAGGGATCCTTCACAAGATTTTATGGGGTTTCTCTTCGGCAAGTTTCCCCCTCTATTGCAGGCTCGTCCTGCATTCAGCTGTTCGCCTGTGCGCCCTTTCGAGAAGCGGAACCTTGTTGCTTCCGGCCTCCGAATCCAGGGGAATGAAATTTCTGCTGGATCGTGGCACTGGTAAAGAGATGATCTCCCTCCGAAGCTAAAACGTGAGCCATGGCCTGGATGCAAAAGCTGCGGAAGAGCAAATCGCTGCAATATGGACTCCCGATGATGGTGAGCGCTTGGTGGTAGGACGAAGGACGGCTAAATTGGGGAGGGGGGACTGGAAAATGGTTGCACGTTGCAGGTTAGCAGGCTATAGAGGACACGGTATTCTCGGAAGCCGCGACGCAAGGGCTGCTCCTATGCATTCTTTGGGACGAACAAGTGAGAAATCCTATTGACTAAAATCCTATTGAAGGATCATCTCCTTTAGGATCTTCTTTGTCGAGGCTCGCTCGTCGCTGGATGCCACTCCTGTCAGTCTGACAAAGAGGGCGGGCGTTTGCCAACTTGATGGGGAAATGTTAGAAAGTTCTTTACTCCGAATAGGGCACCATTACATGGATTGTGTCCTTTCCTCTCTATTCGTATGAATGGCCTATACCAGTAGTAATTCAGCATTTCTCAATCCACAGCCCTCCAGAGGGACTGGATCATACATCCCATTATTCACTTGGCTATCTGGATGAAAATAATAAGTATTGGACAACACTTGGTTGAGGACAACTGTGTTGTTGTATGACTTGTATGAATTAACTCTTTACGTGCCATGAAGTCAGTGTTGATTCTTTGTAGTGACCATTTATGTAGCTTTTCTCCATGATGAACTGTCCCTGACCTGTTCTTTCAGATCTTCTGGCAGTGCATGCAATTGAGTCCTTGTTGGTCATCCTTCCACCTTTCCTGAGACAGCGAAGTCTTCACATAATGTGCTCCAAATATGATAACTTTGTCTTAGTCATTTGTGCCTCAAGTGAGAACTCTGGGTTGATTTTTTTTTTCAAAGATTCATTTGTTTGTCTGTTTATTTTCTTGGGCTGTCACTCTCTCAATCCAACATATCTCACAGGGTTTTTATAAGGAAAATAGGAGGAGGAAAAAGTATGAGATATGTTGGCCGCTTTGAGTTATTTATAAAAATAATAAAGGTAGGATGTAAATAAGTACAGAATTATATAGAATGGAAAAAATCAATCTTCTTTCAATCCTTCTTTAAAGTCCCAACTTTCACTTTTATAAAATGTCACAGGGAAAATCTTTGCCTGCCCCATTCTGAAGTTTAATTGTCCGATCTAAGCCTGAAACCCACAATGCATAATAACTTGTTCTGTGTGATGGATGCAACTAGTATAGTCCCTATTTTCCTTTACAATTTCAAACAAGATTCAGTTCCCCGGGCTTAGAATTTTTCTCACATATCTCCTGGTACGGTTCCATTTGAATGCCAGTTTCTCATCCAGTTTACCAGAGAACTATCTATGGATGTCTATAAGGAGATAAATATGTGCTACAATATCACAATGCAAATTTCACTCCTTGCATGTAAGATCACCACACACATTTTGCCATCATCATAAAAGTGCCTGTTGTTTTAAGAACTATTTAATATTTTAAGAATACTCTTTTTATTATAAAACTTAAGAAACAAATTGGCACAAAGATATCAGTTTACAATAATATTTAGAATTTAATGAAGAAAACACAACAACTATGGAGATTTAATGGGATTTAATTTGGAGAATATGATTAGATTTTAAGGGACAAAAAGGAACAATGGGGAAACCCATCCAAAATGATTATGAGGCTTCTGGAGGGGGGGGGGAACTGAAGGAAACTGGGTAAAACTTTACCGCGTACAAAACAAAACCAAATTGTAATTGTATCTACTAGCTGGATCTAGAAGTCTGAAGCTATTAGATTGCTCCTGAATTCTGGAAGAATTCACCCCACAACTTGAGGGTACAATTTATTTTTTCCCTCACAGCCAGTTGCTACTCTCTGAGGAAATTCAAAGGAACGAAAGTTAATGCATATATTTTTGTTAGTTACATCCTGTCTCCTTAAGTTGGTTTACATGGAATCACTTTTGACTGATCCTTAGGTGGACATATCTTGCTCCTCTTGTAACAGCTTGCTCTCCTTTGGGGTTTTTTCATATTTCCTTGCCATTTCCTTTTTTATAATAAGCCTCACACTTGATTTCAAAGACAAAATAAACTATTCCTTTCCTTTTTACAGCTCATGGTGCACTTGGCTCTCAAATACAGTAGGTGGTGCTCCAGTTTATAAAGTGTAGTAAGAGAAATACTACAGTCAATACAGTCAGGGTTGCAGCACCTGGTGACTCATCCTATGTGACTTGCTTACTGCACTGGGATGGTAAGTTTTCTGACACTGCTATAATAAATTGCTAATCAAGATCAAATTATATAATTGGACAAATAAGCTTGTTTTAATGGTGTTTAAAAGAACCGGTTTAAGAAACAGATAGAAAAAAAAGAATCTGACCTGAATGCTAAATTGTTCCCCATGGCTATTCCTGGGCCTGAATTCTGTGTCCAATTTTATTGCCTCAACTACTGATTATAAGAAATAATGTTGGGCGGCAATAGGTAGGCAAAGCTCAAAGCTCAAAAACCTTGCTGCTTTCCGTCCCCTCCAGAGCAGCATTGCCCTTTAATTACAGGTAGTCCTCATTTAGCAACTGCCACATACAGTGACCATTCACATTTATGGCAGTGATTAAAAAGTAAGCTTCTGATTAGTTCTTGCATTTATGACCTTTGTAAGTCTGTAAAGCAAAGAAAAACTACAGCAATGTCAGGCCCGTATAAGCACATCCATACTTGAAAAGTTCAGTTAGCTGTTTATTGCAGGTGGGTAAGACTAGATAAGGTTCAATAGCATGCAATGGGGGGTGGGGTCAGACTTTGCCCTTTCATGCCCACATATGGATTCCAGACTATTTCTCTGTTTGACTCCTCCCCTGGCTCGTCACCTTATTGGCCAGTCTCTCCAACAAATCAGATCATAAACACAGTCACAGTTTCACTTATCAACTACTTCATTTAATGACCAAGTTGCTGATTCCCATTGTGGTTGGACCACCTCTAATGTAACCCCAATTGTTATGGAATTCAGAAAGGCTATCAAGACCTAGAAATTCAGGAAGTCTTTGGAGAGTAAAGTGCAGATTCCAGCCCTGCAGTGGTATTTGTTTTATCAAAAAAAGTGTTTTCCCTGGAACATCATAATATTGACAATTAATGACATTTGTTAAATTAGTTTAATCTTTGTTATGAAGATTATGTTTGCTTCTTAGAGTTGAAGCAGTTTACAAGTTGAAGCAGTAATATTCTTTAAGTTGAAGATCCCTGATTTGTTTATTCGTGTCAGAAACACCACAATTAAAATAAAGCATACTATATGACATAACATTTAAAATATAAAATACAAGATTAAAAAAGGCACAAATTAAACAGATCATGCCCAGATCCCCAATAAGGTGATGGGATAGTGAACCCAAGAAAACCATTGCTTTTTAGTGTTTGAAATGGTTCCTGGGAGAACGCTTCATTTAATTCTTTTCCCCATTATGAGAACCTTTTCTATAACCAGTGAAACACACACTGACTTCTTTTTGGTATCCTTTGGTTTTCTGAATTATTTATTGAGCATCAATAGTATTGTGTTGTGCTCCTCTACTATTTCTAAAGCAATTTTTAACATCTGGCATTGTGCTGTGATCTGTGTTCAATAATCCTAATCAGTATTTTGCTTTCATCTGAAATTAAGACTATTGCATGATAATTTGCAGACTCGGTTAAGTCTCCTTTCTTGGTATTGGTATGTAGATTTACCTCTTCCAATCTGTTTCATTCTTCAGGTTTTCTGGCATAGCTTAGTTAGAACCTTTACTATTCTTAGTCATTTGCCATATTTTATTTAATTATGAAAAACAAGTGAAATGTATATTTTATTGTAACATGGATACAAATTTAAAAATTGAGCCAGTGTAGTATACTAATTAGGTGTTGGACTAGGGCTGGTGAGATCCAGCTTCATGTTTATCCTCAGCCATGAAAACCCCTTGAATAACCTTGGACTAGTCTCCTCCTCTCAGCCCAATCTACTTCACAGGATTGTTATTGGAAAAAAATAGGTGGAATGTTACATATGATCAGGGAAGAGATATGATACATCAAATCTATCAAATAATGCCAAATTCTTCAAAACTCAACCTTTTTTGTGTTCTACTGCAGTTGAAGAAGATAACATATTTTATTTTATTTTTAAAAAAAATGCAATGTGTCCTTCTTTGGAGAAACTTTACAGGAAGCTATTTTTGGCTCTCTACAATAGAGTTGCGTGTTCATTCTGAACCGGCCAACCCTGTAATTCAAAACGACTACAGTGTGGTTCAAAGAACCATGTACTCATGCTTGCAGTATGGAACACAGCCTGCCTTCTTGTTAAAATTGGATTTGCAAAATGCCTTCTGTATTTCTTTACCAATTTTGAACTACACATCTTAATCTGCTTAAGGAACCTCCTCCCCCCCCCCATGAACCTCCTTGTGTGTTTTATCTTGTACATATATTTCCATGCTGAAATTGTTGTACTGAAAGAGGCTGAGATTGCATGTACTCTCCAGCCACAAGAAATTCCCAGCTGTTGAAGCATCACAACCATAGTGACAAACTGTTGACACTCCTTTATAAATGTCAGTAAAGCAAACTTATGAGTTAAACATCCATGCAAGGGAAGGGTAAGTGTTGTCTATTCGTGTATTAAACAGTGATGTAGAAAAACTAGTCAGGCAGTGCTGGAAGCCAAATTTGTTGGATTGTTGATGAATCCAGTACAACTGCAAAGGCAGTTATTAAACAGGTAGAGCTAAATAGCATTAATGTCTGGGTAAGATGAAAGTGCTGGGATTAGAGATACCTTTGGAAAAAGCCCAATATTTATAAAAACAATAGCATATAAACTAGTAGGGCATCATATTGCTGCTGTAACTTCGACAAGATGTTGGAACAGATGGTGTCTATAAGCAAGCGTAAAAGTATGACCCAATAGATATAGAATAAAATAGATTGACAAAGGTCATTATCAGAAAACTCAGCTGTCATTACATAAAAAATACAGGAGATCTCTTGGATTGGCAACTGGTTAGTAAACAGAATGCAAAAAGTAGGAATAAATGAGCAATTAACACACTGATGAGTAATCTATAGTACAGTTCTTCGTGGATACATTTATTTACTTGTTAAATTTACATGCTGCACATCTCACTGCCAAGCAGTGCCTGTACGATTGAGTGGTGAGGTGGCCATTTTTGATCGTGGTGTCAATCTGAAGTGGTAAAATCAAAAAGAGATTGTGAAAGAGTTCATACAGAATCTCTCCAAAGTGGCTGTGTGGGCTTCACAAAAATCAAACAAAGATCAACATAAACACGTTACTGACGCATGTTGGCAAAGGGAAATAAGAATCCAAACTTCAACTGTGTAACAGTGGAATCTGAACTAGCAATGGAAAGGAAAGGGAATTTGGGTGAAAATAACCCAGTGTGAAAATAACCCAGTTGTTGTTGTGAAAAAGTTTATAATTCCATGTTTGGAATCATGAGAAAGGGAATTGAAAATAGAACTGCTAATATAATAATGTCTTCACATAAATGTGATACCATAGTTGGAGTACTATCTACAACACTTGTAAACATGGTTTAAGAAGGACATGATTGAGCTAGAAGAGGTACAAAAATGTATTTGGGAATTGAAGCAGTTCCACCACAAGGAAGGACTACAGTAATGAAAATTCTATAGCTTGTATCAAAGGGATGTAAATGGGGACATGATAGAGAAATGCAAAACATCATGAATGCCATAGATCAGGTGAAAAGAATTTTATTCTCACCATGTTAAAATTTGAGGTTATCCATTGAAATATAGCGACACTCAGGACCTACAGAAAGATTTTTTAACATATAGAACATAGTTAAATTGTGGGATTTTGCTTCCAGCAGTTGTGATAATGTTAGCCAATTTGAATGGGACTGGACAGGTTCATGGAGATTGTGAGTGACTATTAATATTGGTATCTATTTATACCCCCCCCCCATTTATTTAAGTGGAAACCTTAAAAATAAGTTACTAGGAGGCAAGTTACTGGGGTGGAGTTATTTTTTCTCCATTCCAGGCTTGTGAGCTTCCCAAAAACATTCAAACTGACATTATTACAGAGTGGATTGTATGGTCCTCTGGCCTGACCTAACAAGACTGTTATGCTTTGATACATTTCCTTGCCCAGAGCTGTTACTTGTTTCTGTTCAAGTTGTCTTTTGCTGAGTTGAGTGCTTTGTCCAAACATAGAGTCTCTATTATGTTTCTCCAAGATGGGTGAGAGTGTTAAAGTTGCTTTTGTTTCCTTATATAAAAGATGCTATAGAATTACTGGTTTATGGGCAGAGTAGTGTTCTTCTAGAATCCATACTATATTAAACTACGGTACTCTAAACAGGTGCAAAGGTCAAGAGTTATGCACCAATCCTAAATGAAGTGTTTCACTTCGATTAAAACTTTGATTGAAGCAATATTGCAATGCCTTGACCTGAAGATACTTCTACAAAGTGACTACACTATTCTGAGCTGATAAGAGTGGTTTCTAGACACTTGTACAGTAGCCACTCTTGTTGAATTGAACTACTGTAGCAGATCAACTTGGATTGGTCAAGCTTCAATTCTTCATAGAAGTACAGCATCACCCTTGGCAGCTACATACCTTATTGTTTTCATCTTGTCATACAGCTCTTTGTGTGCTTATGAGGAAATAAGTATAACTCATGTTGTTTTTAGCCATATAAACTACATTGGATGAGCCATTTCTGTTACAGTCAAGAAATATTAGGAAAATAAATAATTTCTAGGAAAATAAATATTTTTTCTTTTTAAAAAAGAACATGCCTAGTCACATGCCTATTTAACATAAATGACTTACTAATTTACTGCTTACCTTAGTAGTTTATCAAGAGAAAATGTGGTCTGCAAACTGCAAACTTTGTAATATGACATGAAATTTTGAATAACATAAAGTTGACTTTAAAGGGTTAAGAAAGTAAATACTGCCTTATATATTTAATACAGGTCAATGATGTGAGAGCAGTGGCTTTATGGTGCTCATAATGCCAGTTATTTTAGAATATATAAGCCATTATTTGTCCTTCTTAGACATGGTAATAGCATGTTATTATTTCCAGCATCAATTTCTGAACTGGTACCATAATTACTGCCGCCCCCCCAAATAGTACTGTAGGGTTGATGTTTGCAGTGCTATGAATTCTTATCTGCAGGATCACTCCATGTCAGGTCAACAAAAAG